CACGAATAGAGTCTGCTCCAAGACTGCACCTCTTAGCAGAAATTAAATCAGTTCCTCCAGAAAACACTCGCTCTACTAGGACGCTAGTTGCAGTAGGAAGATAATCTCTAGCCATCCTAGCCAAATTGGGATATTTAGTTTGTGCACTTTATTGATTACCTTCCGATTAATTAATTATCTGTGATTTAATCATTTGGGGTCATGCGATGAATTTCCGAGTTTTATGTTTTGGGGTCGATTACCCGGTTTACTTGACCCCTTTCGGAGCACTATATAAGAATATATATGGTTTATTTAAACAAAGATTATTAATAAAATTTTTGAGCATAAATTTGGCCAGACTCTTTGGGTTTGTCCACGTTAAGTTTATTTAAAGTGGACAAATCCAAAGGGTCTGGCCAAATTTATGCTCAAAAAATTTATTAATAATCTTTGTTTAAATAAATTATATATATTCTTATAGCTATATAATATACTTGTAAAATTTTAAGGTTATTTGTTTGATTTAATTTTTTATAAATAGCGATCATTTTATAGGGGTTTGGGTTTTGGCCAACAAGTATAACTATGCTACTTTTGTGACACTTATAAGAGCCTCAAAAATATAAAACGGACACCTGGTTGTCGTGTTTTTTTTGTCCTTTAAATCAAAGTAACATTAACTACACAGAGATGTTCATAAGTGACAACCAGAATTCAATTAATATTTTAAGTGTTATACCATTGTTAGAAACTACGTCTTCCGAGCCTTAACATGATCAAAACCATATAAATATTGCACCTAAATTCCCTTAACGACCGATATAATCGTGCCTATCTCTATTAAACCCCTCATTATAGAAAATTTGTGTAGAAAAAGCTCGAGAATGGCCATTACTTGCCAATGACTATTTATCTCCTATGACATCACAGAGATGGGAGTCTACTCACATAACTGTCCAAGTTGAATATCATCGAATAGTAAAGAAGCTTTGAAAGTTCGTAATGAGATGTACCTTAAATTCAGAAGAAGAAAAAGGAACAATCTAAATGTTATCCAAAAAAAATTTAACGCGAAAAAGCATGTAAGCTTTTGTACCATAATTTATACATTAGCATGGTGCATTAACCTTATGAATTTTTCGGCATAATGTGAAAAATATTCAACTATTCACAATTTAGGGAGTTCAAACTTGTCGGAAGTGGAGGATTTGCAAATGTGTATGAAGATTCTGAGAGACACTTTGCGATTTGAACATAAGATGCTACGTTACTTATTCGCGAAATAGTAATTCTAATTGTGATCAAAAAGAATTTAAATTTCGCGTACTAAAGCACTCTCTCTATAACTAGGGATGGGTCCAGTTACTGTTATAACCATGACCGATACTAATCGGTCCGATACTTTTAATTTATTGCTAGTAGTGTTGTTGAAATCAACTGTTAGCTGATAGCTGATTGTAACTGACAGAACCCATCCACATTAATCATCGATCAAAATCGCATCCATTTGCATTTTTTTTTTTTTTTTTTTTAATATGCAATTTGTAGTTTAAAATTTTCATGAAGTTAGTCATCTCAATATTAAATTTTTATGGAGTTTCCAAGGTATGAAGAAGCCTGACCTAAATTTTAACAACATTTACTGTAGTAACATTTGATTTGTCAAACTTCGGATACACAGACGAACAATTTCATGCTCACATTTAATTTGTTGATGAAGGAAGTTTATGTAGTTATCTACAATTAAAAATGGAAAGAGGTAAATTTGAGATTATTGGACTAGTCTAATCAACATTGCTGTTGAATTACCTGTAGGTTAAGCTTCTTGTACGAAAAAAAGTATGCCACATAGATTTGGTACATAGTTGACCTATGTATCAATTGAAAGCCCTTTATTTTAATATACCAAGTTATTTACATAAAGTTCTTCCAGCATCCTAGTAGTGTTATAATGAATGACAATAAACTTTTGAATTTTGGAATAAAAAAAAAAAGGACATACTACACCGATTTCGAGGGAAGTAGAAAAAAATAAATAACCGGAACATCTTTATGTTGCGCCAAACTCTATATGAAATATTGGGATACTAGATAAAATTTCAACAGAGCTTAAAGGCTATCTAGAAAGATTTCGATTCTATCAATCTTAAAAATAATTCAGTTAACACCAATATTTTATTATAACGTAGAGTTTATCTGAGAAAAAAACTTGTGCTCTTTGTTAATTACTGAATCGCCAATGTATTGGTAATCATTAGTCTGAATATGTAAACGAAATAATTTTTTTTTTGGCAAATTTATTATTCTTTATTTTAAGATAGATGATAACAATTGGAGATTAATGGAGTTGCATTTTAAGCTATAATAAATAGGGTAGCATTCACGATGCTAATAAAACCATTTATTCAGTGTATAAACCTTTACTAATCTGGAATATTTCGTATTCTTCCACAGAAAAATATGACAAGTAATTATTAAATGTTGATGCATTTCTAATTCGTTCATATGAGCCTTGATGATTCCAACAACTCATATCTTGATTAGAATAATCTGACATAACTAAATCGGAACCACCATGGCCTCCACCAAAAATTGGGCCAAAGCTACTTTGACAAAAAATTGCATATTTTGGCTCTTTTACACGACTTAAAACAGAATTTTGGATAGTACCATTTTTCAATGAAAAAATAAAGCTATCTTTGCATTCTTTATATTGATAGAAACTTACATCTGGTTTATCCCAACCGACAGGATTATAACCACCAAGAATTTCATCAGTACCTTTAACCTTCATAACTACAACAAGATGTGTTTGCCTATCACATAATTTCCAAAATGAATCAGGAGAAAAACCATCTCTGGTTCCACGAAGAAGTAATTTAAACTCGTATGGATTATCCGTTACTGAATATGGATTAGCTTTTTTATCAACCCATGAAACAATTTCTGCTGCATGCTCTTCATTGATAATTGTTGAAAATGGTTCTGTATTACTAATGTATAATGTTGGTGTTAAAATTATACGAGGTGAGAGAATTGTTGATGATATTTGTCTATCTGGTGAAATGAACTTTTTTATAATATCATCCCAAAGATCTTTTTCTAGAATTTGTTGGTATGGTTGTACATTATCGATAATTTCATCACTAGACATCTGAAAATAACGAATATGAGGCAAACAATTTTGTAAAGTAGTCTTTAAAACTAGAAAATCCTCATTAGACCAGTTTTTAGGATTGGATAATAAACCAAGATTTTGAGCGACACCCCATTTAATAACACGATTCCAAATCTTTACTTCTTCCATTTGTAAATCATCTCGACTAATAAGTGAGACTAATGCATTTTCTTGAATCGTGATAAAATTTTCCGAATCAAAAAATTTATTAGGATACTTTACCACAATATCATCGCACCATTTTTGTAATTCTTGAAACTTATTATTCTGAAAACATTTTTGATAAATACGAGTAAAATTTAAACGAAGCCAATGAGCTTCCATTTCAATTAAATAGGTTTCAAGGTATTTGGCTAATTCATCAAAAAGAAATTCGTATGCGATGAACATAAGTTCAAAAATAAATTGTGCATTATTATTTTCAAGCAAGACTACACCTCCATAAATATATCTTTATATAAAGTTTAATTATATTTTAGATCTTTTTTCATAGCATAATATAGATTATAAATAGAATATAAAATAACATACTTGATAATAATTTCAAATTGTTGTATAGAGACATTTTTTAATTCAATTGTTTTAATATTATTCTTATCTTTACTGATATTTGTTAATTCATTACGAAAATATAATGATCTATATCTTAAAATTGCTGAATGTGCTTGAAATATTTTTGTATTTGGAGATTCACCAACATTAATGATTATATTAAAGTCTTCGTTGTCTTCAAGTAGTTCAAGATAATTATTTGAAAGTTTTTCAAAGAATTTTACTGCCATTTTAAATATGTATGAAATCTTTTAATTATCGATTAATTGGTTAATATGTAAGAATTTAAAAAAAAAAATACGTATTATTAATGAAATAGTCGTGCCACGATTTGAATTTGACAGGTGATAATCAGGGGTTACTAATTTAATATGAAAGTTCATTCGTGCAAGATCTGTTAGTATGAATATGTATATATATGTGTAAATGCTTGTCCGAAATTATGTATTTAAGGAATACTCAAGAGCTTAATAAAAGTCGAAGAAAGAATAGAAGTTGTATATTAATATTGCCCTGATCCCTTTATAACCGGTTAACCGTCGGCACCCAGATAGTAATAGTAATGCCGCCTGCAATACGTACGTACGTACGTCAACATATCTTTAGTATATACGTATATGAGAAATTTAAATATGGCTATTAATTAATTTTTTATAGTACGTATGTCTTACATAAATGTGTAACATGAAATGTGAGAGGGATGGTTCCGTTCAACTTTGATGTTCACTATGCTGATTTTTGAAAAATCATTTTTGGTAGGAATAATGATTTTCATTTACACATTTTTAGAAAGTGCTAATACTACAGATTACATAACTATACCATTATGAATTGCTACGTACGTACGTTGTAAAAGTGAGAACTGATCTGGAATCGGGAAATACGAGCAGTACGGATATCAACTAACACTAAAACTAATCTAAACAATACTCTAAACTACTAAACTCTATTGAACCCTAATGGTGATAGGCACGAAAGAGGCGTGGAAGACTTGGACTGAGTTATTAGGGTCAGATAGAGCTCTAAATTACGTCACGAGACTCTACTTTGAGATTACAGGTTTAGACTACTAATTCTATGCGGATTTGACTTATCAGGGGGTAATTGGAACGAAGCTTTAAAGTCAGAATAATAGACTCTCTATGAGTCGAACTCTACTGAGTTCTACCAACTCTCACTGAGTTATCTTTTATTGAAGCGATAAGGTTAGGTCTTAAATATTTTTTGACCTTTACTGCGTACATAGATAACTTCTGCTATACTAATATATTTGTCAGAGACTAACTTCAACAAGTTTTGTAAAAAAAGGATCGTTCCAGTGTGAAATTGTACCTGGCTTAGTCGACTAGGTGCAAATTGCACCTGGCGTTGAATGAATAGGTGCAATTCCACCTGGTACAATTTGCCCCAGGTGCAATTTGCACCAAGGTATGAAATTCCTATTTTTAGCAACGTATACTGTTCCAACTTCGAAAATAAAATAAAATAAATAAAATAAAATAAAATAAAATAAAATAAAATAAATAATAACATAATAATAATAGACAAAAATAAATAGAATAAACCAATATAAAAAAAGAAAAATGTTGGATCGCAGTCACCCGGACCCCTTTACAACGTACGTACATATGATTGTGTGAAAATAAAACGTGAGAAAAATCCATCTACGGTATGTCATTTGATTCAGAGTTCGTCCATTTGATTTTTGAAGAATTACGTACTTACGGATGCTATATAACGATAATGCATGCAATTAAAATTACATAGACTTGTCATATATTATGTAAGCAAACTGTTAAAAAAACTGCATGTAGTTAAGTAATTATTACAAAATTCTCGTGATCGTCTGTATGAATGTCAGATTTGTAATTGTTGCGACATTTTGGTCGTTTGCATTATACGTAACATTCTCATTGTATATTTTAGAATTACATCTTAACTATGACGTTACAGTCCCATGCTAGTACAGTCAAACCTTCGCCTTCGGTTCTAAGAAATTCTGAGCTTATAAGAAATTGTGCCTATACAGGGGTCAAATTAGTGTGCTTATAAAGAGGGTGACTGTATGTATGGAGGGCAGGCTGTATATATTGGCCATTCGTTTATTATCTGAATGCTGCAAAGCGAAAATCTAAAATTTTATTTTTTGAAAATTATTTCCAAGTTTTTGCTTTGCAGTACTCTTTTTAAAAATCGACATTCACCAATTAAAACTAATATGGCCTTAACTAAGTACTATATATTATTTGAATAGAAAGTTTGT